GGCGGGAGGGGGAAATTAAAATTAATGGTTGGCGAAAATAGACGTATATTTCGCAGCGTGACCGCAGAGCAATAATGCATTATCGGAAAAATACATTGAAAAAAAAAAGAAAGGAGAGAAGTTTAAAATACTGAGAAGAATGCATTTTGCTCACTTGTTGCATTCAACAGAGGGCAAAATAGTAAAAAAAATCACACAAGACTGGCCCCACTCACCTGGCGCACATCACATTCCTTGCAGATGAAACTAACAAGGGCCAAGGACACCGGCGAGTGCCCGGAGACACCGCCGCCGCCGTCGCCCCCGTTGAAGAACCCTTGACGATATACCAGCAAAAGGACGTCATTAAAACGGCGCCGCCCACATACGCCTTGAGATACAAGCCGAGGCCCATTTTGTAGCAAGCGGCAGCGGCGGTATCGACCTCGGCAGCGGTTCTGCACGCTGGAGAAATCTTTTCCGCGCTGCAGCACCATCAGTCCATCACGCAGTTCAACGGACCACCACCAGCTATGCGTCTCGAGGACGATAAAATAGTGGTCGCCTGAGAGAATCGCGAAGGGCGCCCACGAGTTTTCTGGCTCTGCGTAGACGTACACCCCCGTGACGAGTTCATCCAGCGAGGACTCCTCCCGAAGCCTCTCAAACAGCTCGGTCACGGTCACAAAACAGGATTGCTTTCCACTCTCGCTACGAGCGCCCTCATCTGCACAGAGGTCAAGGTAGTGTTCAAGGCAGCCGCCCTTGTCGGCCTCGTGGTCATTCATGCCCTGAAAGCGCAGGGAAACAGCAACGAGCAGGACAGCGAACCTCACTGCCTAACTTTTTGAGACGACTACTTCCTTATACCTCACTCTCTCCCTCCACCCGCCTTGCTCCCTCACCTGCCGTTAGCCCGACACCCTACGAGACAGACGGTGAAGAAGAGTTTTTTATTCCACGGCATCCCTGCGCACGTCTGCAGCCGGAGTGCAATTCAGGCACACAAGTATTAGAGCATTCTTGTTTTTATTTATTTATTTCCATCACTCTCTTGTTTCTTACTCTTTTTTTTGTTTTTCTTTCCATTTAGCTTTCAGTGTGACTTTGCAAGGGTGCTTGCTTGCGTGCTTCTCACCATCCACCACCTCTCAACGTCTTCAAGAGCGGCGCTGCGACTCCAGCCATCGATACATGTTGTGCTCCGGCAGAGAGATTTCATGCGGCTCGCACGCCACAGGCGCGGCGGAAAACCAGCGGTGCCGCAGCAACTTCTCGGCAGGCTGTCGTCGCCGTGGCTCCAGCTGGAGCATTGCGTCCAGCATGCCCACACTATCCCGGTCAATGTGAAGCAGCTCACACCGATGGGCCAGATGACTTGGCTGGTTCTCCTTGAAGCGGATGAGGGAGCTACCCGTGCGCCCGTAGTACAGCGCGCTCTTCGTCGATGGGGAGCCAAGCCAGTCCGTGATTGCCGCAACCGCCTCCACCTCACTGCGGGCGTTGATAAACATCTTTCCACCAGAGAGCATCTCGAAGAGAATGCAACCGCAGCACCAGAGGTCGACGGAAGCGTCGTAGTTCAGTGCATGTTTCCCGCCGAGGAGAACCTCCGGCGGGCGGTACGTGACGGGACATGGGGGCCCTGTCATTGGCCCACGCCACCTCGCAGGACAGAAGCGGGCCCAGCCAAAGTCAATGATTTTCACAACGCCCTTTTCATCAATCATGACGTTGCTTGGTTTCACGTCGCGGTGAATTACCCGCTCCTTATGCAGGTAGGCGAGACCGGTAAGAAGCTGATAAAAGATACACTTAATGGTGGGAAGCGGCATACGACCGGCGCTTGGCTCCCCACGGGGGCCGCCGTTTCGCCAAAGCCGAATCAGCGAGACAAGATCGTACGCCACAACAGGCATCAGCGCAATGAGGGTTCCATCCGGGACAACGTGGTAGTCAAATAGGTCAACGATATTTTTATGCTTCAGGATACGCAGTAGATTCAGCTCCCGAGAGGTTGTATTACACAGCCCCATGACACGTCTACCTGCACCGCGCAGCAGCTGCATGCGCTTCATCGTGAGGTGGGTTTGCGTCACAGTGTCAAAGACAATGTACACCTCCCCAAAGCTCCCTTGTCCTATCTTGACGATCCGCCTAAACCGCTCGTTGAGGGAGCGCATAATGGACGCGGCGACATTAGCCGGCGTTGCCTTCGGATCCGCGCCCCGCAAGTGCAGGAGCCCAAGGGTGTAGCGCTGCACCGCAGCCCGTTCAAACCCCTCCGCCTCCGCCTCCAGTGTGTGGTGCGGGGAGAAGTCCCAGTTGCCAGTTGGCGTACGCGCCACATCGTCAGTGCGGTCCCGCTTCATCTCCTTGAGTTCTCTCCACGCCGCATCAAAACAAAAATAATAAAACCCCCCTTACCTCCCGACGCCAGAGAAACAGAAAGGAATGGCGGGAAGAGGCAATGAAGAGGCGCAGCGCAAAAAGAAAAAAAAAGCAACAAGGCAGTAAGAGCCTGGAGAAAGAAAAGGAAACCGCGAGTAACCCCCCTCGCGGACGCAGCACTGCCCAAGCCCTCCTCAGAATGAACCCGCTTTTATTCCAAGAGATTCACCACTCTTCCATATGTTTCTTTTTATTTTTGCCCATGTTTTGCTAATTTACGCTTCTATGCATCTCCCCCAGCTGCTCGGTGCATTTGCCCCTATTACCTTTCGTTTCTTTGCCTTGCGTTTTCTTCCTCCCCTTGCCTGGGTGCCTCGCTCCCCTGCCCCCCACTACGCACACACATGCATGTGCGTTTGCAAGGTGAAAAAGAGAAACAAGAAAACGTCACCCCCCGCAAGAGCAAGAGCAACCGACGCCTTTTTTTTTTATCCTCTCTTGCTAGTTCGGGCCTTTTCTCAGAAAGATCGTTTTTTCGTTTCCTTTTTAATAATCAACCACTTTGCTTTTGCCCTGATGTGCGTTCCCGGCATTGTAGAGAAAAGTAAACCCTTCCTCCCACACGCACGCACCCATATTTAGAAACCACAGGACAATAGCAATCGTACTAATGTGCAAATGCGTCGTTTCTAGTTTTACTCCGTCCCTTCCGTGGGCGGCACGCTGTCCTCAAACTTCAGCATCCCTACACCCATCATGTATGGGCGCAGCACATCGGGAATGACAACGCCTTCCTCTGTTTGGTAGTTCTCACAGATGCAGCACATCGTTCTCGTGATGGCGCACAGTGTACCGTTCAGCATGTGGCAGTACTCCTTCACGTTGGTTGCCGACGCGTTACGCATGTTTGGGCCAAACCGGCAATTCACACCGCGCGCCTGGTAGTCTGTGCAGTTGGAGCACGACACCAACTCGCGGAAGGCCCCCGAGGCGGGGAACCAGCCCTCAAGATCGTACTTTTTGGCAGCCGCGTTATTCAGCGCCCCAGAGCAAATGTTGATGGTGCGGTACGGCAGCCCAAGGCTCTCGCAGAATTCCTCAGAGGTGCGAATCATCTCCTCAAGGTGCCGCCAGGACTCCCCCTCCCGTGGGGAGCACACAAGAAACTGCTCCAATTTGTCAAACTGATGCACGCGGAAGATGCCGAGCGTGTCACGGCCGTGAGCGCCGGCCTCCTTGCGGAAGCAACTCGACATTCCAGCGTACTTCAGCGGCGCCTTCAGCTCTGAAAACCACTTACCGCGGTGGTACGCCGCGATGGGCATCTCGCTCGTGGCGATCAAGTACTTCTCATCGCCCTCGCCCGTAACCTTGTAGAGCTCTTCATCGAACTGCGAGAGCTGCGCCACCTCCGACATGGCATCCTTGTTGAGGAAGAAGGGTGGGTAAAACGGGGTATAGCCCCGGCTGACGAGAAAGTTCATGCCATACGACAGGAGCGCCAAATGTAGCTGAACGAGTCCACCCTTCAGCACGTAGGCCCTCCCACCAGCCATGGAGGTGACCGTCTTTGTTGTGTCCATCATCCCCAGACGCTCCATGATCGTCACATGATTGAGTTTTGCTCGCTTCTTCACGTCACCAAAGGTGCGCACGACGGTGTTGCCCGTATCCTCATCTTGCGCCACAGGAACGGATTCATGAATGATGTTTCCAACGCTGAGCACCAGGCCATCCCGCTTCGCCACCAGCTCGGTCGCCTCCCTCGCGAGCCCCGCCACCTGGTCGGAGAGGTCCTTCGACAGCTGCTTTAGCTGCAGCACACAGAGCTCCTTGAGTTGGTCCGGGTTCAGCTCCCCTTCCTTGCAGGCTGCTCGGATCGCCTCGGGAACCTCGGAGGAGTCCCCGTCGGTCTCCTTTGCCTTCTTCTTCGCCCCGACAAGCTTGCTGCAGGCGTTGATGAGCTTGTTGCAGACCTCCGTCAGAAACTGCGTGCGCCGCCAGTTCTTGTCTACCTCCAGTACGGCGTCCACAACGGCGGGATCTGCAAAGCGCCGGCGTTGAGACTCGCGGATGAGGTCCGCCGCCTTTTCATCACGGAAAAGCTGAACATCAAGCCCCATGCTGGAAGAAAGAAACCCCTCAATCGTGAGCAACTAATTGTACTCCCTCAGCGTGAAAGGCGAGCAAGAACAAAGGTGGAGGAAAAATAAAAATAAAAATACAACGCACACACACACACACATTCGCCAAACAGACAATTCGGGTGTAACAGTTCCGCAGCGCCATGGCGATGAAGCGGACGCGTGTGTTGCGAGCCCGAGGACACACAGACACACACAGAGAATGGGAGATTTGGCGGCGAGGGAACTCCTGCCACTCCCGTCCTTTCTCACTCACTCACCCACTTGCTTGCTTTACATATGCGCCTCCGCTGGGCCCTGCACCCGCTCAAGGCGACTTTGCCGCAAGGATTTCTTGTAGCTTCTCAAGCATGTTTTTTTGGTCCGTCACGCCGACGAGGCCCAGGGCGCCCAGCACCGCTTCCACGAACTCGACAAATGTCAACTGTCGCTCAGACGCCACCACCACAGCCGCCAACTCCCCTTGGGACCCGCAGCTCTTTTCATACATGGAAAACCCTAGCGCGTTACGCGGCGGGCAAATGGCGGTAGGTACAACGCCTGGGGTCACGAACCGATCAAAGGGAAATAAGCAACTCAAGGCATCAGTTAAAGTGACTCCATGACTATCAAACATGGTGCGGAAAAAGATAATAAAATCGCGAACAGGCAAGAGTACAAAGGTGTCACAAGTCCGCGTTTTGGGTTCGGCTCCCATTCTCACAAAGAGTGCCTCCAAAGAGGGAAGAAGGGGTAGCAACTGTGCCTCGTTCTCCCTTGTCAGGGGAAACAGTGGTTCATTTGTGAGCTGCTCCTTTTTGAGTGACCCTTCCATCAGGACCAAGAAGCGCTGCCCAAGCTCGGTGGCGTTGCAGCCGACGCACGCAATAACCGACAGACGCACAAGGGATTCTATAAATTGTCGGTAGTTAAGACTACCCTCAAGCCGCAAGATGGATTCCTGAAGTGCACGCATCCTCTCACGCCAGTGACTGTAGGGTGCCACGCGCTCGGCCTCCGCCTCGGCCTCGGCCTCTGCCTCAATAGTCAACAGCACGCAATTCATCACGTCGGAGATGCTCACACGGCCATTGATGACGTGCGCGTCATTCAAGAGACGAAGGTACTGTGGGATACAGATGTGGCCCGGAGAGCGGTGCCGCCACCAATTGGGATTCGTTGTGAGGAGCTTCACGTTGTCAAACTTTCCACCGTAGGTGTCAAACAAAGTTCTAAGAGTTTTGTTAAAGCGCACCAAGAGCATTCGTATAGATGACTTGACCTCTTCAAGCGAGTTGTCTGCGATGCCAAAAAAGTCTGCTAGGGCAATGTTTGGCAGAGTTGCTGGGCCTTCCGCGTCCTTGAAAAGCTGCTCGGCCTCATTGCCGCGGAAGACGCCATAATGTGAGGTCCCTACGCTTGTTGTGCACCTTCCATATCCCTCTTTGTTTCCACGGCACCACTCGCCCTCGTAGGTGCCTCCGTCCGCGTAGTAGAAGACGCCGAAGCCATGTCGCATTCCCTGCATATAGTCACCCTCGTAAACGTTGACAACGGATAGAATGGGAGGGGAAAAGTTTATCGGGGTATCGACGTCCTGCGGCGTTTTATCTGGGTCTAAATGCAGCACGTAGGTGGAGCGCCCATGCCCTTGCGGGACATCGTCCCTCCAGTGCCCTTCATACACCTCCAAGTAGTGCGTCGTGCCGAACTTCCACCCCATGGCCCCAAAGCCGTCTCGATGGCCGTGGTCCCACCCGCCGTCGTATACGTCACCGTTGGGGTACACCAACTTGCCCCTTCCGTGACGCTTGTCGCCTGCCCATTCTCCGTCGTAGTAAGAATCCCCAGAATACGTCTGACGCCCTTTGCCATGGCGCTCACCCGAGGCCCAGGCGCCGGTATACACGCCCCGAGCCGTTGACATCTCTCCGTTGCCGTGCCGCACACCATTTTTTACCTCTCCTACGTACTTGTCCCCGTTAGACCAGGTGAAGACGCCCTTCCCATTTGGGGCATTGCCCTGAAAATCACCCTGGTAGGAGATACCATTGCTCCATGTAATTCGGCCCCGACCTTCCATGCTCCCATGGACAAAATCCCCGTCGTAGCGGAAGCCCATTGCAGAATAAAGGACACCCTTACCGTGAAACATACGTTTCTCGTCAAGTGAGCCAACATACTTACGTACCGACGTTTCTGGGACAGCATCTGTGACGTCGTCGGAAGTGACCGCATGCTTCAAGTACTCATACACCTGTGCGACGGCATCCTCTGTGGCCATTGTCGCCCCGCTTTACTAGGCAATCAGGGGGTCGGGTCGTGAGGCGAATGCATGAAGAAGAGCAAAAAAAAAAAAAGAGCGAGAGAGAGAAATATAGATAGAATTCAAACAGAGGCAAAAGAGAACAAATGGGGAATACAAATAATAGTTCAATCACATCATTTTGCTCAGGCATATGCCAGAAAGGAGATGAACATTTACAAATAGACAACGGAGATATGCATATCACTTCCTTACTCGTTCCTTTACGTTCCCCTTTCTTGTTTTTCCTTTCCGTCGCTCAATTAGCTTCTATCCAGTACGGGCGTACATTTTCACAAAATTTTTGATGAACCCCGCTTCTTCTTCCGTCTCTTCCACCATTCTTCGCTCCCGCTCTTCACGCAGGCGATTACGCATGTTCCTACGCGACGCATTGTGCTCTTTCCTTGAGAGCATCAGTCCTAGCTTCATCTCCCTAACACCGAGGAGGTCGCGCTGGTCGGTGCCGTCCAGCGTCTTGACTGCATGGAGGGCCATCGCTTTGTTGCGAAACGTCAGCACCGCGTAGTGCGTCTTGTTAAGCAGGTTGCCCTTCTGCGACACCCGCAGCTCCACCTTGGGCTCGTACGCGTCGAAAACGGTACGCACTGCGTTACGCTCCGTGCCGGAGGCGACGAAGCAGTGAAGCCGGTACGCGCTGGAGGCCTTCTTGCCCTTCTTCTCCTTTTTCTTCCTTGGGGCGCCGCGGTCCGAGCCGCCCTCGCTGACCGCGTCGCTGCCAAAGGAGGAGAGCACCTCGTCCACAGCGTCCGCGCCGGCGGCCGCCGCTGGTCGCTTCGCCGCTGGCCGACGACGTTTCGGGTAGCGGAGCTCGCCGTCCGCCTCGCTGCCCCAAATGGCGGCCAGCTCCAGCTGCCGCTCCTTCTCCAGGTCCCGCTTCACCATCGGCACGGCGGCAACGCGTCCAGCGACTAGCGACGGCGCTGCCCCCTTTGCAGAATGGTGCCCGCCTCCTTCCTTTCTGTCCCTCTTCCGCCTCCTCCCTCGTCGCCGCCTCGGCCGGGGGGTGGCGGAGCAGCAACAAAAGCAAAAAGAAAACAATAAAAATAATTTAAAAAAATAATAGTAATAGTCCGCGTCGCACGAAAACAAATAAATAAAAGCAAAGCCCCACTGAACAATGGTCACAGCTATCAATAAACAAAAGTCAAAACAATCGTAATAAAGGATAGCCAAAGCAGACCAAAAAGAGGGAGAGATTGGAATAAGCAACTACAAAAAAAAGTGAACACCCAACAAGTCGCCTCCCTAGTGGAACCTAGGGCATGCAGGGTTTGCTCGCTGCACCTCCAACTTTTCCTTAGGCGAGAACTCCAAGACAGTTGCTATCGCCGGGATCATCTGCTGCCGGATTTCTTCACTAGAGCAGCATAAAAATTGAAGTATGACATTTCGCACGTACTCCACGCTCTGCTGAACCCGTTCCTTGGCCTTGAGCACCTCAATGTCCTGCGTATACTGTGCCACCACAGCGTTATTATGCTCGCACTGGCGCTGCAGCTCCGCGTTCATCTTTTCCAGCGCCTGCAGTTGCACGCGAAGACGCCGAATCTCATTGTCACGCTGGCTCTGTTGGTTTGCCAACGATAACATGTCCTTCTCAAAGACGCCTCCAGCCATAGCACGTAGAGTTGCGCCTCCCTCCTGCACAGCTGACGATGCAGAAATAGACTGCTGCGCCTTCTCCCGCTGAAACGCCTCCCGCTGTCGCTTCATCTCCCTGCGAAGCAGCTCGCACTTTTCCTCCAGTTGACTGTTCCTCGCCTCCAACTCCGTCACAACTGCCGGCGACACTGAGGACTCCACCCTACCCTCCACCTCAGACAGGCGGGTGGTGACCTCCTCAAAGTCTCGCCGGCAGCAAAGAAGTTCCGCGGACGCTTGGTCAAACTCTCTCCGTGTCTCTGAAAGTTCCTTGAACAGCGAAGCAACGACTTCAACGAGTGGCACACTGGCATACCTCACATCCAATAGCATGAGGCTTTTCTTTAACCGCACGTGGAGGCTCTCAGCCCTTGACAAGAGCGAAGCAACATCCGCCTCGCACTCGCCACTTTCACTTACATCAACCACAGCTGCCTCGCCTGCAACAGACAACAAATCTAACAAACACTTCACAAGCTTACTCGCATCATCGCGTGCAGCGGTAAGGGAGCCTTCCAAGCTTCCAATTCGTGCATCATCCCTAGCTTTCGTTGTTAAAACCTTATCCTTCCAAAGCAACAGCTTCTCCTCAATCGCACGAATACCACTTTCCTTCTCCTCCACGGCAGCCTTACGCTCCTTCTCAGCCTCAAACAATCTCATTTGAATGTCTTCAAATGACTGATGCACCTCCGCGCGCTGCCGCTCCGCCTCCTCCAGCTGGGCCCGCAGTTCCGCAGCGTCCGACCCACTCTGCTCGCGGAGAACGTGCAGCTCCTCGCCCGTTCGCTCCAGCTCCCGCTGCACCTCCGCGCGCTGCCGCACCGCCTCCTCCAGCTGGGCCCGCAGTTCCGCAGCGTCCGACCCACTT